AACCGGTAGAAGGTTGGGTTCCATATGTAAGACCTAAGTGGATCCCATATGTGTAAAGTCCACGGTATAGCCTCGAGCCCGTGTTTCCCCGGTGACTTCTGCCATTCCAAGAGGGTTACAATCACCTCCATTCTTCCATATGCACCCAAGGAATGTTCATATGTGTATTGCTTCCGAAACCTCCTTCGGGAAGGTTGGAGCTTCCGTAACGTCCCTGTTCCATGTAGAAGGGGTACATTTTCCCAGTGTTATCCAGTCTTACTCAGTGGGTAGTGCCATAGCAGCAGTAGCTGGTCCTCTTGTGCAAGCCTTGGCCTACGCCAAAAAGTAGGGGCGCAGGTGGCTTCCACAGGACACTGGAAGGGGCAGTAGCTGTGGCCTTTTGGTAGGATCCCAATTTCGTCGGTCATCCGACGTGACGTCGAGAGTGACCGACTGAAAGGGAACGTCTCGGTTACGTATGGTAACCCTCGTTCCCTGAAGGAGGGAACGGAGACGTCACGTCCCGTTGCCACAGCTCCTGTACCACCGCTGAGCGGCCGGGTCACCGGCTCGGCTCCTCAGCGAAAAGCTGAATATGCGCTGCATCTGCTGCCTACTTATACTCTCGCTGTGATCAGCGGCAGCTGGATGCAATAATCGCATGCCAATGTGCATTGGCTCGTTTAGTTTACACTCGAAGTAGATTAGTCTCTCTAAGCGACATCCCAATTTCGTCGACGTGTCCGTTCCCTCCTTCAGGGAACGAGGGTTACCATACGTAACCGAGACGTTTTCCTGCTACAATTATTTGGGTTGATATAATTGTTTAACTTTTGCTGGGCCAGATTTAGAGTGAAATGTTTATTTTAATTTGTATTTCTCTATTTCATATTGATATTATTCCCACGTGGCATACCCAAATCCTCACCCTAAAACTGCCTCCTTCTAATGCTACTAAGTAAAAGTAAATGCAATTAAAGTTATCCCCATGATGCTTTGATCCTTTCCTTAAAATCTAGCCCCAAAGTTTTATTCATTAGATGGAAAAGTGCCCTTAATGCTTTGCTTCACGAAGCGAGCAAAAAGCGCATTTCTTTCACTAGTAATCTCTTGGCTTCCCTCCAAAATATCATCACAAGCCACGGAAGCATGCAGCGTGGAGCTAGAGGTGCAATTGCTTGCTGGAAAACACATTGTTAGTTTTGCTTACAGTTTCCCCAGGAGCGATGGCCATAATGGCCTTATTGGCGTGCCCAACGGGATTGTGTACTTCACTATTCACTGCCCATGGTGTTTTCTGTAGAAAAACAAACATTTAGTGTACGTGTGATGTAACATTCTTACGAGTAGCAAATGCATTATAGCTGTGGTTAGGACACCTGTTTTTCGCTTCCTAGACTGTAATATTGAAGAGGTGTTCACTCATGTTCTCTCGCCTACATGAAGAATGGTATCCGCCTTGCATTTTCTGTTCTCTCTCTGGAAAAGAAAAAAAGGAACACCGCGAACGATATCGTAAAATCATCCGGTCTTTTCTTTGTGTCTCCATGTGAGCTGCCAGCCCTCATGAACACACTGTTCTTGGGGGTTTTTTCTGTCGTCCTTGTCCGTCGCCTGGCTATAACCTTGCTCCGATCATTGTTGCCCATTCTGAAGGCCTGTCGGAGAGACAAAGGAAAGCTCCTGGCAGCAGACATTGGGATGCAGAGCTTTTCCCAGGCCTCCACATAACAAATGGCCACCATTCATCACCCTGTTGGACACCCAAGGAACCTTTCTTTTCACTTTTCACTCTTATTAGCAGGGGACAATCTCATGAGCCTGACATGCGCAACCAGGTTGCAATACAATGAAATAACCATTATTTAAACACCTTGGCACCAAAGCCAACATGAAACACTATTTGCAACCTGTTTTACGTCCACATTGTATCTGTGAGTCAAACAGGACATTGAGTGAGAAAAATGTAAGGTTTGACTTGATTTTCCACAGTTGATTGGATCAGAGTTGGCATTTGTCGAGGCTTGATGACATCACCTAAAAAAGCAAAACAACCGCATATTTGAATAACTGACCAATTGTGCACATTAACACTAATACGACTTTTGTGATGAACAACATTGAGACTCCTACTCTGTGAAACAGTTGAAAACTTAACTGTTTTGTAATCTGATTGTATCAGTACCTCCAAATAGTAATACTGAACTGATCAGGATTTGCTCTAAACCTTCAGACTTTCACAAATCTAGCTGGTCATTCAAGAACAGAGCAATCTAAAGTGCACTTAAAAGCTGCAAGAGCTGATTTCTGCTGGCAGCTACTGCTGTGCAATTTCAAAATGATTAAAGGCAATGATTCCCTGTGTGAAGTGCATTGGTCGAGGTCTCGGTTCATGAAATGCAAACAACTCTTCTGGCCATCCAGCGGTAGGGGAACATTTAGTTTGGATCTCTTTGTTTGCTGTCTTTGATTGAGGAAGCCGGGCATGAGTTTCCCAGAGATGGTCAATTCAGTCATTTGGAGAGGGGCCTAGTCTTTCAGCCCGGCCACGGATGTGTCACAGCCCTCCCCTGCTAAGAGACCTCTCACAACTCTTGCCAGGGAAACCGGTTGGTTTGCACAGAGTATCCACAGCTCCCCTGGAGATTCAGAAATGCATTTTTATATAAAAAAGTGGGAGAGAAAGAAAACCACTAGTCTGTATTCCTTTCACAGTTTGTGTGTTGTGCCCCCAAAGAATTCCCTGTTGGGCTTTTTTTCCTGTCTCTTTGTTTTGAGAAGCAGAACTCCCTGGTTCAAGCTAGTTACCAGGCCATGCTTTGAAGACTGCAGGCAGAGGGAGTGTCTCTGATCTCACTCCCTTCTGAGATCCAGTCCTCTCTCAGCAGACCCCTCCAAAGTGGGAGGATGTGACTCAGGTATTGTGGCTTGAAAGAACAAGCCTGTGGATATGTACATAGGGTGGTT